CAATTAGTTACAAGAAGGCATTGATTAAAACACTATTTTACATGGTAGAAAAGATATTTACCGCCGACAAACTGGAAGAAGAATTAATGAACGTAGAAAAATGTCTAAAAGACAACTTTTACCCACAAAAGTTTATTAACAAATATAAAAAGCTCAAAGAAAACAAGATGGAAATAACTACGGTCAATAAGAAGCCAGCATATATAAATATTAACTTTAAAGGTGATAACAGCACAAATAATCAACAGAAGACTGAACACTGCTCTAGCCAGAACTTATCCGGCTGCTAAACTCTTAACTCTCTATAAAACAACATGCTCAATAACCCAATCTAAGATCGACAAGCAACTTTGCCAAAGCAGCTACATCGGCCGAACTGAAAGGAGAGCATATTTTAGACTTTTTGAACATGTTCCAAAAAGTCTTAGAACAAGGGAAATAAAGACTCTGAACAGTGCAATCACCAAACATCTCCTTGATACAGGACATCAGGTAGATACCTCACAATCCTTTAGAGTGATTAGTAAGCAACCAACCTCCAGTCTTCTGAAGTTCGCTGAAGTCATTGCCATCAGGCGTGAAAAACCTGACCTATGTATTCAAAAGGAGGTGGTGGTTAATCTTTCCTTGTCCTGGTGACAAATATTCCTTCACTCCTTTTTTCTGTTTTTCTCTTTTTTTCTTTCGTATTTATTACATCATTTATTTCATTTTATTTTTCAAGTATCCTTCAACTGGACTCTACTCACTATATTCCTATCAATGTTTATTCATTGTGTAATCATTTGTTTCTAACCCACTTTTGAACTGTTGTCACAATTATTGTTGTAGAATATTCTTTCACATTAGGTATATATTTACAATATTCAGTAAGCAATTTAAACCCATTATGTAATTATGATTTTTAAATACCACAGGTTGTAAGCAGCTGACGAGAACCTACGAAATAAAATGAATTCATGCTATTCTGCTAGAATCTTTGTTCTTGTTCTTTTCAAAATGATAAAGGGAACTATGTGTATGAAATTTCCCATTATTGATCAGGTATATTTCAATCTATTTCTTAGCGGTATAATTCCAATTTCCATTATATATAAAATGTTAGGTAGGGAAAAATGCAGGACACTTATTGTGTTCCAGATATTTTCTTCAAGCAATCCTATTTTCTACTATTGTACTCAAGTTATAAACAGAATGGATGAAGGAAAAACTATTGTGGTGGTCTAAAAAATTACTAAACAATATCTAACTCCATGTCACATTGAATGTATTGAATGTATTCATAAAATGTTTGAAACTCCTAATTCTAAGAAATATAGAACACAATTGAGTTGAGACAAATCAAACTGCGAAATATGTGAAGTAATCAGTAATATTGGTATTCCATTAAACAAATAATCACCCGATATATGAGCTTGAATAATACAATAATTAATACTAATCACACTCGTATCATTTCACGTGAAACACCGGCATTATCAACCGAATCATATCTTGTTACATTAGCAATTTGGTTAATAATTGGACAATCATCGAAATGTAATGGTTTTTAAAAGTACTTCACACCCACTCACCTACACACGCACACTCAAATTAGTGATAACAGTAATCATCGTGACAATAAATAATCATGATAATAATCAATTTGATTGTTCTTATGAAGGTCAGTGAGTATCTCGTTCACACAGAACCATTAATCTCTCTATCTCTCTTCCCTTCTCATTCAATTCATCATCATTCACGTTGATATCACGTTAATCACAAATGATAAAAGCACTTGGCACTGATCCAAATAAAGTGATCCGTTTTGAGTTGTGCATCCCACACACCTTATGTATTGGTACTGTGTTAGTGGAGTGAGACAACAATTTTTGAATTGAGTTAGTTAGACTTTTGACTCACAGTTGTTTGTTCCCAAATCCATGTGAACAAGCATCAACTCGTTTAGTGAATGAGTGAACAAGTGTTATAATGTGTCAGTTTGTAATCGACTAATAGTTTGATATAGATGAGTTGATTGAGGAGAATTATGAAGTATGCAGCATGAAACATGATTTTAATAAAACTATATATTACAAAGATTATAACCAAGTACATATGTGAGTTATGGATTATATATTCGAGTATGAAATCTTACTTTCCATCACAAGGCAATGATCTTGACGTTTCGTTAGTTAGATCAAATTATTTGTTGCATTTGTTTAACATAGTGTTTAGCAACTGTTCGTCTATATAAATTTGGTCGTTCAGTCTGAACTATTTGATTAATTATGACTGACCTTCCTTTTCATAGTTAACATTAAATACAAACTTAAAATCACTATAATTTAGTAGTAGATAGAATATCATCTACTTTATATAATCTCACTAAGTTTTTGCTACTCATAAATTTCATCAATCACTTTACAGATAATTAGCTAATTTTATATGTGGTTGAACAACTGTAACATAATAACATAAATTGATTTGTAGTCCAATCAGTTAGATAGGTTTCGTTGAAATCATGAAGAAATCTATCAGACCATCATTGAGGACTTGAAAGCATTAAACATCCGTTTTCATGTAGTATGGGTTTTCATAACAGTGTCCATCCACGACTTTGCAACCGGGAAATGAATCCAGGACCATCACTTGCGCGTGATTGCTCAGCAACTAGACCGCTAAACGAGAATCTGACGGTGTCATTGTCTAATTCTTCTTACTTGATTTGAAATCAACTGAATCGAAACTATCAAAAAATTCCATAGGTGTTTATTTTGTAAGCACAGTCTTTATTATCATCAAAATTCTGACCTTACACAGACGACTAATCAAAATAGAAAAAAATGAGACATCTTCGTTTTATCTTTCGAATTCTTTGAACAATATACGTAATATTTGATGAGGTTTTATAGTTTGGTTAGAGATAAATCTTAGAAACTACTATCAATTAAGTCGAAATTGTGACAAGTAAATTTCATTCAGTGAGTTTTTATAACAAATGAGCATTATTTGAAGAAATTTATCTTACAAAACAGTTAATCTTTACTGGTAAGATTTTAAATAACTGTCGAATGATAATATCTCTGTAAATAGTTTCAAAGAATTAAACGGGATCGAATGATTCACGAAAAGTTGGAATTTCACGTGTCATATTTATTTAAAATGTAAACCATTTAGCGTAGAGATTTATATACTTGAAAATGGAGTTTATTCATGGTACTCCATAATTTTTCCATTCAGTTGTTAATATAATGTATTAGTATAGATTAGATTACTAAATTTATATACCTTGTAAAGAGGATTAATAATAAGCTAAAAAAAGAGATTAGGTTACAATTAGTTATCCCCTTTTTACTCATACTGACGTTTACTAGTGGGATTCAGTTAGTATATTTGAATTATTTTCTTTATTATTAACCACATATTCAAGGACTGTTCCTATAGCAACCCATCTCCGTTGCTCAATCAGTTAGTTTGTAGAAATTTTGTTAATTTAATGTCGATTTCCACAAAGAACTGACATTAGCTGTAGTGCCTTTATGACACAATAGAACACACCTTTTTAAAATGGGGGCACACCTCGCTTTAGACTTAACTAGATCCAACTGCCAGTTTCTCACAAGAATTACAAGATGTTCACCTCGAAGTGATTCCATAGTTATACTATGAACTAACATACAAATTATTCTGACTTAAACCGGTTCGTGATATCAATAAATATCAATGACTGCCACATACCTATACTGAGATGTTCATTATCGACTAGCTTCGGCAGAATTTTTCACTAGTTCTAGTGAGGAGACGTGACCAGTGGAGTTCAACTTCGTCGAGTTTGAGGGAGGTAGGCACCGAAGATAATAAAGATGGTTGCACAACATCGTGGATTGATTGAAGTTAGGCTTATACACAATCTGGTGCAGGATCAGTGGTCTAGAAGTTAAGTGTTCGCGCAGTACTGGAGGTCCTGGGTTCAACCCTCAGTTGAGGGGCTGTGGATGGGCACTGTTCAGGTGTTTTAGTCCTTACTGGCTTTTAATAGTCCCCTAACATGAATCTGTTCGTAATTTCAACGAAACACTAATTTCATTGAAATCATGAACCGATCATTGTTAGACCACCACTGAAAACCTAAGAGCACTGGACGACCGTTTCGTCCTAGTATGGGACTCCTCATCAGTGCGCACCCACGGTCCCACACAAAGGACTCGAACCTAAGACCTGCGGCCTCTCAAGATAACACCTGACCTATAAACCACTGAGTCGGCATCCAACGGTGTTAACGTCTAACTTTAACCGATCCACAATATCATGCAACCAACTTTGATTGTATTCAGTGGTTAACTGCCTCACACCCGATGGTCCTGGGTTCTATTGCCGTGAACGAGATCACTGCTTAGGAGTCCCATAATAGGACAAAACAACCGTCCAGTGCTCCCAAGTTTTCAAACGTGGTTTAACATTGATCGGTTCAAGATATCAATGGAATTCAACAATCGTCACAACTTCAAACTGAAAAACACAAACTATCCATGTTTGTGTTGAAAATGATCGTATATTTGCATTACAGATTGTTATTGCTGGTAGAAAACAGCATTAATGCTAATAATATTTTATTGGATTGGATTTTATATGTATTCCATTACTATTCAACATCGTTCGTCTTACTTTCTACATTAAATCAGTGTACAAATTCTAGTCAAATTGACAAACAAGTAGAAACTTGTTTTTTTTACTAGTTTCCAGTACTATGATGGGAAGAACGTTAGAATTAATTGACTCATAGAGTGAAATGATGGTGACCTAAGGGAAAGTGAACGTTAAGAGGGCAATTGTCATTTGGATTACATGTGTAAGCGTAAGGCTATAAATAAGTCGAATTTTGATTGGTCAACTAGAATGCATGCGCCGCTCAGTTAAATTATTCATGTGGCTTCTGCTATCTCATTGGTCAAGAATATAATTAAAACCATATATATTTAGTGAAATGAAGGATTGCTCAAATAAATTTCATCAAAGTAGTATGATACCAGTTCAATCTACAATTACAAATAATTTCTCTACAACAAATTCTGAATGTGAAGGATTTGTTACATCAGACATAAAAACCGAACCACATAATATAATACCACTAACCCGAAACTCCACAATCTCCAGAAACTCAATGATGAACAGCTTACCCAGTCGTCGAGGTAGGCGGTCAACAATACCAATGGAAATCCGTGATGAAGTTCGTCGGGTAAGAATACAACTTTAAGATTTACGAGTGCACATAGTATTTTTTCAAATCATTGCTATTGAAATGAAACAACTCCAGCCTATCGTCCAATAGTCTTAAGTGAATTTATTCTTAAGGGAACTAATTAAAATATAAAATATAAATTATGAATATAATGACTATTTCATATCAATTACTCAGTATTTCTTCAAAAAACATTTATGATTAATGACTTTATTCAATATTATATCATTGGTACAATATAGAATTATAAGCACAGTGTCTCAACAAGTTTTCTTTTCTTATTGCTTGATTGGTCCTGATGATAAATATTGAAATCTTGTAGTGATATTGAATGATCGTCTTGTAAATAATTTAACCTGAATTCTTAATTAATTGTAATTACACCACAATCACGGTACATGTTTAGACTTAGTAAAAATTGAAGATAGTCCACCTTGCCAATTAGTGATCGCTAGTTAGATGTTAGCAGTTCAGGAATCGACATCTAAATAATGTTCATTATTTTCAATGCATATTACCAACCACCACGATGTCTCTGATTGTATTTTTTTGCAACTTGTACAGCGAAAGGTCGTAAACATTTTATATGCGCGCCTGAATAGGTTATGCGATTAATAGATATAATGATGTGTTAAAATAAACTTTTTGAAATATTCAGATGGTAGGAGCAGGTAGTCCAGGTATTCAAACAGGCTGCCATTGCATATATATATATATATATATATAATGCCTTGTAAATATTTGCTGAAACTACTGAGTTAAATTTTTATACTTCTAGACCACTGAGTCAATAACTGATGTTTCATTGTTCCCATTTTAATCAATTCATGATCATGATTTCATTCTCGACCCAGATAAGTTGAACATTTTTGGAAGATAAATGAATTATTAATATCTCTTAATATAGTGTTGAACTTGGGCAATTAAACTATTCATTTTTTCTTTCAGTTAAAGAAAAGGAACACAGAACGGCAACGTCGTGCTTGTATCTCAGATAAAATGAATGCATTACATAATTTAGCTATGAAATTAATTGGAGAAGATGTAAGTTGTTAACTAGTTGTTTGTTTAAAAGTTTCCACCGTAAGAGGAATCTCTTGAGCTACAAAATATATAATTATTTTCCTAATTTCAACTTAATTTTTAACCTAATTGCATTGCAATTAACGAAAAAACAGGTCGAAAAATAATAAATTTCTAAAATGTTGACCGAGATCATGAATCGATCAATGTCAGATCACCACTGGAAACCTGGAAGCACTAGATGGCTATGTCATCCTAGTGTGGGACTCTTCAGCAGTGGGCATCCAGAATGCTGGTCTAACATTGATCGATTAGCGATCTCGATCAAAAATCAACACTGTTCACAACCCTATACTCAAAATTTTTGAAAGTATGGAATTTTTATCAGGCGAACATACATTTAGATAATTATACATCAAATATGAATATAATAGAAAGTATTTTATAACTCAAACTTATGCTAAATATGTATTTGTTCCATAATCAAACTACTTAGAACAATAATAAGTAGTTCGTTTTGAAAATGAAAGGGAAGAAGTTTAAAGTATTAAAATTTCAATATTCATTAACTTTCAAATGCCTAATAATATTCTTCTTGTTTTTCAAAAAAAAATTTTTACAGCCATCAAAACACTCCAAAATGGAAAAGAATGATATACTTGGGATCTGTTATACGGTATTTGAAGGAATCGCCAAAATTCTGAAGGACAGACCTGGTATGTTTAATTTATAAATTAGTGGTTCATAATCTTCTGGTTTATTATTTTTTTGACTAACCAAAGATTTTGTTTTGCTGAAAAGTAACTAATAGTGTCTTTGTTGTCTATTTTAACAAATAAATAAGAAGGGGATGGTTTTCACTAGGACAAATTGTTTTCTGAAAATCTATGCAAAACCGATTGTTGATATATGGTAATAGGCATTTAAAATCCTGTTGATCTGTACCAGCAAGTATCTTTCATATTAACTAAGATTTATTTAACTCCTAACATTGTCTTGGATAGCTTTGATTCAAAATGTTTTATATTTACATGGAAACTGAATTTTAGAGATTATATTTGAACTTAAACCAGTGAATCCTCAGTTACGTAATCAAGATCTTTGCTTAAAAAGCTTGTGACTTAAGGCAATATCGAGGGAATCCGTACAGCATGCACATATGCCAACAAGAGGCTGATCAATTGCAGTCCCAAAAAATCAATAGGAAGATACAATTAAAACAATACTAAGTGGATTTAAACTTCACCCCATTACACAAACATGTGGTTATCAGGACTCTGTAGCTAAGTGGATAACGCGATGGCGTTCGAAGTAAACATTACAGGATTCAAATCCCAGAATGAACATCAACTCTGAGATGCAGATACATCCAGCTGACGAGTCCTAAATTGAATGAAACGAATGTCAAACTGGATTCCACTGTTATCCACTATTCATCTTCTCTTAAAAAGACTGTTGTTTAGTGTTTTCATGACAAGTTAATAATATATTCATTTCAGAATCAAATACAAACTGTAAAACTAGTTGCTTTTTTTCTTCTTTTTCTCATATCTTTTTATAGAATTACTATCCCGTTTACATAAACTGACTTTAACTTCACAAGAAACAAATAACATTAAACCAATTTCTTCTAGTTCAGATTCAATTAATATAAAATCGAATAATTTAAATTCATTATCACAATATTTACATAAAATTGAACAAAATTCTATTGAAATCAATCCATTAAATCTTTCTAATTATTCTTCAATGAATTTACATAATGAAGACAAAATTAAATATTCTAATATAAATCAATCCATACCATTCTCTTGTTTAAATCTTTCAAATGAATCTAATTCGAATACACCAATTAAAAATCATACATTTCGATTACCATTAAAATATCGTTGGTGTAAAATCAAACATCAAAATATCACATCTAATTATCATCATCAGCAGCATCCTCATCATCATCCAATGAGTAAATCACAAAATGATGTAATCATGAAACAATGGAATAATTATGTAATGAATAATGAAAAAGAAAATCTATCACATTATATCAAACAAGAAAACGTTTGGAGACCATATTTAAATTAAATTTATTCTTTTTTTTGAATTTTTCTCTATTTTTCTTTTTATATCTTCCTTTTTTAAAAAAGTTCTTTGTTATATCATACTGAACAGATTAATGATGATTTATTTATTCAGATACACTAGTTGATTTGGTTTAATGATGAATTCATTGAATACACTTATTGTACAGATTTAAATATAAAGAAAAAAAGTTAATTCAGTTTTATTATTATTTATCAGATTTATAATTATATTCAGTCGGTCAGTCAGTAACAACGTAGAAATTCGTACGTACATACATCAGTTCGAGTTGCCACACCACATTAGCACAGAGATGCAGTTGTCGACTCAAATTCCGTAGTGGTAGAGGTAGTAAGAGTATAAGCAGTAAACGGAAACACTAGGGTTTGAAGATGTTATTCAAGGACTATAATCCAGTGAAATAAATTTGAGAAGAGAAAAAACAAGGGACATGAAGAATTCAGAAGATTAGAATTTGTGAGAACACAAAGAGTGGATACACTTGCGCCATTTCAGACGATGTTAAGCCATGTCATTCAGGGTCTCTAACCATCGGTTGTTATCGTCTCGCGGATCCCAACCAGGTATTCTACACCTACCAACATGGCTCAGTCCACTTGTCAGTGACTTCATGGACTTGTGCTATGTTTTGGTCTGGCCGCCCCTAGACTTCTTCCTATCAACTCTTATACCATTGAAAATCGCACGTTGGGGCAGTCGGTGGTCGGGCATACGTAACACATGTCCCAGCCATCTCAACTGATGAGGTTTCACTACTTAATTAATCGATTTGCCATCCTTACCTAGTACCCGTTCCCTAACAACTGTGTTACTTACTCGATGGTCCTATGATATACGAGCAATGTTTCGAAGACACCTATGATCAAATACTAGTAACGTACAAATATCCTCTACTCTTACCGGCTATGTTTCACTGCCATAAAGTAGGACGGGACGAACTGCTGCGCAGTATATGTATAATTTTTATAAAAATGAAAAATGTATATAAATACAACAGTAACTATTGTTACACTAATACCATTATTGGTACTTCTAAAGAATATAATATTAGTCTTCAAAACATTGTTCTAGTTGGGTGGAATAATCGACTAAACGAGACTGAAGTTAGACTTAAGGTGTTTGGTAAAATAATTGATATATATATATATATATATATATATATATATATATATATATATACATAGTATGTCATAATACCATATGTTTCGATTTGTTATACTTGTTTGGTTACGAATAGGCTAGAGGAAGATTAAGGATGAACAAACCAGGATATAATATCAGTCCATATCAGTATTGAGTGTTAGTAGGAACTGTGTTGGTAAGTAAAGACAACCAGACTGGGGTATGCATAATAATTGTTTAGAGGTATTAGATGATGTGATTATGTAACAATTAGATTGTCACAGATACATTCACTCTTTATCTACAATCACAGTTTAAGTTACAGTATTCTTTTAATACATAGTTTCTCATTATTTCGATGTTAACTATATTTTCAATATTTAGTTTTATTTTTTTCTCGATCATTGATATTACTATTATTTCGACTCGTTTACTATCCATCTTTTCAACTACTTCTTATCATTTTTATGCGAATTTGAAAGTGAGTAATAGTTCGCATAAATTTTCTGACAGATTTACTTGATAAATTTCAACAAATACTACATGACATTGTATAAATTTCTTTGTGAACTCTTTTTCAATAATTTAGTACTGAAATAAGTCAAAAGTTTCAGTACACTGGTTACATTGAGATACATTGACATTAAAAACAATTGAGTTACAGATTTATTAGCTAGTCAGTGAATTTGACGATACATTTAAAATGTATTAGGTTATCCATTTTTTTATTGTAAAAGTGATAATTGTTTGTATTCGATTGAATACGGTTTAAGAGTGCAATTACGTATGTCCGTAAATTAACGCTTTACCTATGCAATATTACTACTAAGTTAATCGAGTGAATTTGCACTGACCTTCGCCAGTGATGAAACAAAAAATATGAAAGCTCTCACGGGTCGTTATCTTTCAAAGCTACCATCTCTGCAACATCCTGGCTGTGAAAGCTTTAGAACTGTTGTATATATATCATTCAAATCAACTTACTCGCTCTAATTTTGATGGAGTTTTGTTGTCTGAGCTGGATGGTTTGGTCATGGAGCATTCATCGTTCTTCCTAGTGACATCATCAGCACTTCCACTTGAAGTTTGTGCTGATGATGTCGTTCAGAAGAACGATAAAAGCTCCACGACCAAACCATGTAGTTCAGAGAACAAAACTTCATAAAAGTCATCCACCTGAGCTACAAATCTTCTCCCCCCATCTCCCTCTACTTTAAATTCATTTTCATTTAGTGATTGTCTAGTTGTATACATGAGGATGTATGGTTATTAACTAGCTTGTCAAAACATGCATAAAAAATACGATATTAAGATGAACTGAGTGTATTATTAATCAAATATGTACGCATAAATACTTGTTGAAGACAGATGGTCATGAAAAGCTTTATCATATTCCCCATATACTAACTATGAGACTTATTGAAAACCCTATAATTCTTTTGATTTTATTACAATACACTTAATAATAAAGGTATATCAAGGTATATGTGACAAATATACACTTCAATGTACAATCGACAAAAGTTGAAAATCAGTATTCATTTACTCATGCGGCTGCAAATGTTTCAATATAAAATATAAGCCTCAGTTTACAGAGAGATTAGTCAAAATCATCGAAGAACAAAAATGCTTTGATATTTGGAAAAGTGAGGATGGGGATTTGTGGAGATTCTAGTAATTTTAATAGTTGAATTCATAATTTAATCTAAGCTAGACTACCAGTGAAAACCTGAAAGTACTGGACGTCCGTTTCGTCATATTATGGGACTCCTCAGTAGTGCTTTTGTATCTGCAATTAGCTTTTATCAATAAGTATTATTTTTGGAGAAATAAAAAATATTTTGTACAATAATAGAGTTATCCAGTTCTTATTATTAAAATGGTTAAATATTTTGGATGAATTTTATGTTTTACGGTTTAAATAAGTCATGAGCTTCTAGTTCTTCATGCGAAAGTGTTTGTTGTTGGATGGTTGAAGTTGGTTGATAGGATAGCCTGACACTAAGTTTCGCACTATACGACATTTGTTGCTAAGGGATATCTATGATTCTGAGAGAAATGATATTCCTTTTGTGTTTCATTCTAAGTCATTTGGACTTCAGTGGGCTGTTCTAAATTATCTAACACTAAAGAAAGTCTACCATAATATCTAGTCACTCAAACTATTGGTCAGGTCACAATTTGATCAATAGAATTTGATTGACCCTAAGAACTAGGTTTCTTAGACTTATTTGTTAATCTATGATTGTTTGGTCGAAATATAGAATTTTTTTATCCTCTTTTGTTAATTAAATATAACTTAATGGTTGAGTCTAACCGAATTGAATATATCAAAACTGTCTAGGATGAAAAACGATAGTAATTAAGCACTGCTAATATAAACTCATGAGCACAATTTTAAACATGGACCTTATATAAATATAAGTAAACATTAACTGTGAATGTTCGGAATACTGGAATGATAGTATTAAGTTCAACAGACTAAACCTTAGGTCTCAATTTAACAACCTGCGAAATTATTTTCTTGGTATAAAGGGTTTATGAAGATTATCAATTTTTTGAAATTCGCATTACGAACTGATCTTAGTTGAACAACCATCTACAGTTAGCATACACTTCAACCAACCTCGAATAGATGAAACAATCTCATTGGCTGTTCTACAATTTCAAAGATAATTTGCACACATTTCATCTAGTGTTCTACAATCAAATTTATATCTCTCATATATTTCAAATAAGGAATGAATACCATCAAAATCTACTTTCCTATATTCAATCATCATTCATTTTATAGAGTGGAATGTGAAGATAAATAAATATCCAGTCGAATAATCACTTGTAAATTTATTTATTTGTTTCCACCGAAATTACAATTCATTCACTCATCAATCCAACCAAGCACATTCGAACCGCACTCACACAAACTTTGGACTTTCGGAACTAACTTCCTTACTCACAGAACTTGGACTCGTATAGTAACATAGATGAAGAATATAAATCCGAACAGAATCAAACTTCACCATAGCTCTATCGGAAATCTTCAAAACCCTTCCACACTTGTCAACCTCTCACTTACACTACACAATTTTAAACATTGAACATGATGTTTGAGAATGAAGTCACTTTTCAATCACTATCTCAATTTCACTCATTGTCACTGCTTAGAATGACAGTTCAGAGTTTCAGGAATTTTCGATTTGTGACTCAGCAATTCTGAATTACGTCATAATTAAATCGATTCTATTGCCTGTCAATATATTCCTCTTAATTTCTACACAGCGATCATGTTGTGAACAGAAACAATACTGAAACGTGACTTGTATGAGCTTAGGAAATTGAATGACCAGCATCAATCCGTCTATCATTTTGTATCCACTCACAATCACTACGATTGGTAATAATAATAATAATAATAACAATAATCACCGTCATCAACAGTCATATGAATAAATGAACGAAATGTTTGAGGGGAATTCGTGAAATTGAGAGTGGATTAAATGTGGGTATGAATTGTGTTGAATATTCAATATGATTGAGATGATGAATAGAAAAACACATTCACAAAATTGCTTTGATGCAATTATATCATGGTTCTATTAATTTCCGTATGTTTCAACTTATGAATGTTGGTTTGAATAAAGGTAATATAGTTTTCTCTAAAATCAATAGCTCCATATATAAACATATATTCAATCCAAGCAGCACATTGTGTGTACAGGTAATGCATGCAACAAACAGTTCTAAAACATTTGTATTCATTTGGACTGAAGTGAATAAAATAACAATATCGTGGCTAACATGTTTATGGAAATTCTAGCAGCGAAGTCGATTTATAGTAGATATTGATCTGACTCGAATTGTCTGACGAACTATGTTGATGAATAAGCTATACCAATCTTGATTTGTCAGATCAAGTTAATATCAGTCATCCTCAAATGCTATATACGTACAATGTATGCCTCGATATAGTTGAGATGATATTTATGTCATTTGGTTGTAATCGAGAACGGAC